CGGATACAAATCGATACAATTAAACAAGAGCAGACCGCAGCACGCTCGCCGTCACATTCAACTGCATCACACACTGTACCAATATTTAACCATACATGTATGTGGTCATGTAGGCTATACAAGTAGTATCCTTACAATAGTTACAGTACCCCAAATCGTATACAAGTGGTCATATAAACTACACAAGTGTGTGTGGGGGGGGGGGGCTGTGTGTTTGTGTTGGGTGCTCGTGCGCTAGAGCCTAGTGTGTTAAAGGCCACGAGCTTTGCATTGTGTTCAGGCTAGGCCGAAGGTTTCTGATGTGGATTGATTCCATTATTTTTACTTCCGCGCAATCTTTACCTGTATCTAGAATTTCTATGCGGAAGGAGTTGTTAATGTCACTATTGGAAAGGTCGTTGTGAGAGTGCAAGATATGCTCGCCTAGTGGTGTGTCTAGCTTTCTTAGACGTGCGTTACTCAGATGTTCGTTGAATCTGTAGCGAACTGGTCTCGTGCATTCTCCTATGTAGGTTTCCGCACGTTCTGCTGTCTCGCATGGCTTACACGTGATTTTGTACACTGCGTTTCTCGTACTGCATTTTTTGTCGAGTCCATTGGTACAGGCATGACAATGTCTGTTGCCGGCGGGACAGGGAGGACGGGTGAGTGCTGATGAGATCAATTTCCTTTGAAGTGAGTTGTTGTTCGTCCATACCGGTTTAATAGGGGCTTTAGCCCCACGAAGGATGCCGTTGACGCGGCGGACTATTGATTTGTATCGATTTGTATCCGATATTTGCATTGGTCTTTTTAAGTGTACGTCTCTTGCGCAATACGTATCGCTACATGACCTCCAAAAGCCATCTGGGCCAATGTGCACGTGTGAATATTTGGTTCTGTTCCAATTTTTCAAATGTGATTGCCTCGGCTAAGCCAGAACCCGATGATGTCGTAAGACGAAAGCTCGTTCTATATTTTCGGCCTCATTTTGTTATTTAAAAATACATCTTACTGCCATGTTACTGGTCAATTTCATCACCATATTTAATAGTTCAAATACGGAGGACGCGGGGGTCGGGAACGGATGGGTGGCACAAAGGTGGGAAAATGGACTGCTCAAGAATGACCCTTCGGTCTAAGGGATGATTCACATTAGAAAGAACTGTGATACATTGCTCCTGAAGGTGTATATTATATTTTTTTTTATTTCACTTCAACCACTGAATTATTTACCTATAAAAAACGTTAAAACGGCGATTAAAATGCCTAGAAATTCAGCTGACATTTCCCTGTTCGGTGGGGTGTGGGGGGGGGGGGAAGGGGATCATACAGGTAACCCGAACTCACTCACATTTCACGATCGCCTAATCAACAATCACCCAAACACGATACTTTCATCACATAATATATCACGAGCACCACACCAATATCCTCATTAGTGTGTAATTACCCGATTACCCGCGTGAACAGCGTCGTTACGCAATTTTGACACCGATTTGTTAGCGACGTGAAAGTTACTCGTGTTAATCATGGTATCATCGCTCGTGAAACATAGTTCTGGTGTTCCCCCAGGCGAGGAATGTGCTTAACCCGCGCCCCGTAGGGCTACCGGCGGACCCTACCACCCGTAGGGGGGGGGGCCGTTTCGGCCCCCCCCCTAAGATCTCGGAAAGTTACCGGCCGATTTTCAAAATTCAAACGGCGTTCGATAGCCCCACCCGGGAACTACCTTGTGACCAAATTTCATTGACCTAGGTCAAACCGATGACGTCACAGGTCAGGTCAAAGGTCAGATTTTCACCGTTCACAGGCAATTCAAGAAATGTGCTGTGAAAGCGAGTAAATTGGTAATTTATTGAAAACCATCGATGGTACATTGTTCGTCAAACACATACTTTGCTATATGAGGTCACTGATACCAGGTCAGGTCACAGCGAGGTCAGGTCACCGGGGGTCACAATATGAATGTGTCGTGTGATACATGTTTTATGGTCCATTTTACATGACAAATGCGATTATGTGGTTTAGGCAGCCTTTGGGACCAGCCTAGGTCACGTTTTTGTGAAGGTCAGGTCAAGGTCAGGTCAAATTAGGTCAAATTTCAAAGTTGATATTTTTGCATAAAATGGGTATCGATTCGATGCAGCTCGTCACGGAGAGTCTAATGGTGGTCTTCGTTTTGCTCTACGAGTTCTAGAATTGCCAAAAATTGAGTTTGAAAATTTGAAGTCATCATTTCTGAACAGTTTTTTCGCTATAACTTGGCCAAAAAACGAGGTATCGATCTGAAATTTGGTATGTAGATAGAAGACGGTAGGCACTATCACATATATTCCGGTTTTTTCGAAACTCAAAAAAAAATTGGATTTTTTGGCGAATATATCCAAAAAAGTGCTTTTTTGATTTTTGGGGGTCAAAACTCCAAAATTTCAAAAATTCGAGATAGCAGTTTTGTAGCCCTGTTAATTCTACACCTTTTATATCTTGATCATTTTTCTGTATCTTCAAAGCTGTAGTCCTGACAGGTCTTCTCACGAAGGTCTTTTTCGGCCGAAAATGACAGAACATGACGTCACTCTGACGTCATTTGTGGCCAACCTATCATAGCCTCTGGAAAAATTTTTGGTCACAATGTGTAAAATTGATGCCCGGAGGGGTCCTGAAAGTTTGGTGGCGATATCTCCAGCCGTTTAGGAGATATCGACCGAAAAGGACAGGGGGGCCGTTTCGGCCCCCCCTACGGGGCGCGGGTTAAAACGGAGCATGTTTGATGGAAAAGGACACGTGTTACATTACAACGCTCGTCGCATTTGGTGTCTGAACTGAGTGTTTCGGTGTGAAGAGAGAGAGAGTGAGAGAGAGAGAGAGAGAGAGAGAGAGAGAGAGAGAGAGAGAGAGAGAGAGAGAGAGAGAGAGAGAGAGAGAGAAAGAAAGAGAGAGACAGAGAGAGAGACAGAGACAGAGACAGAGACAGAGAGAGAGAGAGAGAGAGAGAGAGAGAGAGAGAGAGAGAGAGAGAGAGGGAGAGAGAGAGAGAGAAAGGGAGGGAGAGAGAGAGAGAGAGCGAGAGCGAGAGGGAAAGAGGAAAGACGTGGAAACAAAAGACAAAAGACAAATTACACTGACGCTGCTAGACCCAGACCATGACCGCATGAAACTCCGGACCCATTGTGTTCCATCGTAGCAATTTCAACAGTTGCTCCCTCCTCGTGGCCTGACCTTGTGCGCGTTAATGGGTTAATTACTGGGTTCATTACCGGTCCTCTGACGGGGCATTTTTCGTCAGGAGCTGCCAGCTTTAAGTCACGATCCTACAGCGCGCCCAAGGACGGTTACAAAGCTCGAGGGCTGGGAAAATGGATGTGACATGAACAGGCGCATTGTCGAGCAAAAATGGATGGGAAGGGAACAGTCGGGCTTGTTGTGGTCAAGACTGGCCTACTGCCTAACTGGCCTACTGCCTAAGCTACGAGTTAAAGAACCAATATCGTTTTTATACAAGTTACGAGTGATCTTGTATTTATTTTATCCTTAGTTCACCGAGTATGTCTTTGGCCCTGACACCCTTTCTTTTAGCCCCTGCCTTATTCTAAGCATTTATACAATCATTAGGGTAAGATGCCTCATTAGCGACCCCCTTACTTTGAACCGTCACTGGTCACGCTTTATGGGTGCCACTGTAAAACTCGGAATTGATTTTCGGAGTGATCGTTCATTTTCCCATCAGGATCTATGCATTTTCTGCCCCGATATCCACAAATTTATTTATAGTGAGTATTTTGGCAAACCATTGCAAAAAAAAAAAACGCTTATAGGGAACATGTTCAAATTAGCGACCGGTGAGAGTCGCTAATAGGTCTACGGGTTTCACCATGGGTAGTACAGATGGCAAAAAAATGTTACGCTCGAAAACAGGAAATAAAATACTTAGACATAGCATATACGTCAATGGAACAGGAGCATTTAGCCAGCGTTTGTGGAAGCTGATCACGTAATGCACCAAAGGCGAAAATAAGGCGAAAAACCATTTTTGGATCTAATCCCGCATTGTACCTATTCGAGGACCGCGCTGGATTCGGCTCCTCTGCAGTCAACCATGACATTTGGTATCACCCGCCACACATCGCAAGCTTCAGCAACGCAACCCCTCATTTTCCCTTCTCTTTTCCCATTCACTTCCCTTCTTGAGCTATTTTCGACCAGTGTCGGGCGCAAATAGGAAATATGGGCTGTGACACATTTTTAACAACCATGCAGTGCACAGTCAAGAGTTCACTACGGGAAGGCTGCAATCAATGAAAAAATGATTGTCGATTCAAAGTAAAAAAGGTGCATCATCTACACGTGCATCGCTTTCATCAGACATGGCACAAAAATACACGGTTTGGATAAGAAAATGGGCATTTTTATTTAATTGGGTAGCTAGTAAGCAACCTTACCCTACATATCTTTGTATTTGTATTGTCCACATCAGACCGGTAGATCTCGTTTCCAACAGCAACAGCGACAACGCAGCAATCTGGCAAGTCTTTATTTGTTCTTTGTTGCAGATTCTGTCCTATTGTGTAATGTGTGTTGGGTAGCCTACGTGAATGCGTTTTTATGTTATAAATTTCGAATATGTTTGTAAATGAGTTCACAGTCAAGCACATTTTAGGTAAATGACGCTCTTGGCGAGCAGGTGTTGCAGTCTTAACGTATAGACAATTTCGTTGGTGTTTTTCTACATTGCCATTCCGCCTTTTATTCGCTAGCTTTTAGTTTGTTTTCATTATCTTTTAGCAATTAAGGAAAAAAGTTTATCTTAGTTGGTTCTGACCAAATATAATAAAAGCTACCTTTCGGGGGTGAGTGCAGTACACGAGCTGAAGGGCCAATCCCTCCGACCTTATTTCGATTTCGATTGCCTTCCCTTTTCATCCCAATAGAACAGCAGCAATAAAAAATCGACCTCCAGCTGAAGAATATCACGTTTCGCATATCAAAGCGGCACGCCAGTCAACAGTAAACACACAATATCGAATTATTAGATTGTATTTATACAGCACAAATGACGACCAACAGAGGCCATCGACGACTAAAATTAATGTACTTGAACAGCCTTGTCCGTGACATGTTTATATGAAAAACGGAAAGGAATACCAGATAAGTCACACATCGAAACGAGCGAGTGGTTTACTGAAAATATTACATAGGCATTACACGATTTTCGTAAGATATTTTAGACGGGCGTTGAACATACGAGAACATACTTGTATACTCATGAGAGCCGCTTTTCACCATTCGACATAACAAATAGTCTATCAAGACAGTGGCTTGTATGAGACAAATTGATAATGATGTGTGCATCTCGAATCCGCCGTTCCAACCAACCAGCGAGGCGAAGATTCACAAATGTGACTGCCTAGTGTTAGGAATATTGGATACAAAAGATCCGCAGCGCAGGAAGGAAAGAGTAGTTTAGGCCAAATTATGACGCCACGTTTTTGAGGAGGAACTCTTTTTTCAGAATGATTATTTTCTTATTTATTTATTTTTTTGACAGAAGAATGTCCTACACAGAATAGCACAATAGTTCGAAAGAAGAGACACCACTGCAATATAACCGATCCTTGTCGATACAATCTTCCGATCTTTAGAGTTCACACACCTCGCTCGTTGCGGTTAAAAGATCAAATAGTCGACTCTCATGACACATTAGTACTAAACATAAACATGACATGGCACAGTTATCCACTAAATCTATATCGATATTACCTTGTCGACTACACACTCAGTCGATAGGGTCTGACAAAGGGTTTGGCACAAACCTGGTACCTCCTTACCCCATCCCATTACCCCCTCCCCCCCCCATCTACCACCTCCCCCAGTGTCTCCCAACAGCTGACTACCAGCTAGGGAGTCGCAAAAACGAAGCAGGAGGGTGGTAATACCGGCTTAATTTTGATTTAAAACATTGATCAAACATTAGCGAATACGCTAAGTGGCACACAACGGAACAAATGCGACGGGATTCGACTCGCGAGGGTCGCAATTGAACGCAACACTCGTCACTGCTAAAAATAAAGTCCTAAAGACGGAGCTAATCAGTCCTCTAAAACATCAGCAAAGAAGACAGCGTTCTTATCTCGTCTCATCAGACCAATCTAGAAGACGTGAAGTGACCGTGACACTGCTGACCACGGGCTTACATACATCCTCACGTCCAAATCCATTTCCACCAATAGATAGCAGCGCCATCTGTGCTGCTCCGTGTTCGCTCTTTCCTAGCACCCATCATGGTCTTGTTGGACAATAAGTACACTCACGACGCATCTTGCGTCTCCGATTCTTTCACGTGCGATGGATACAGGACTTTTCGGCGATACCACAAGCGACCGACAGAGGGCAGCTTGGTGTTTACAGAGTCCAGCATTGAGGGTTTCACGCAAAAGAACTTCCAAGCGTCCTCCCGCGTTCCGGAACAGCGTCGCTTTTTTCAAACCAGTGACGTCATCGGAGACTTCAATCACATGGCATCACTAAAACATCAATCCAGTGACGTAATCAAAACACCGAACTTATGATGTCATCGTTGCCAGCTCGGTTCCAACTCAAACCTCAATCAGATTTCCAAGTTATTCCAAAACCTCAGTTGTATACCATCATGACAACAACACATCACATGTCAGAATGCGCATTCCAGCAAATCCCAGCACTACTTCTCCAAGCCAAGTCCTCAGTGTTTCTTGCTGCCCTCCAGATCTGGTCTCTGGTAGGCGTCGATTATCTCGTAGGAAGCCGAGAATCCTTTAGCGTTCATCGTGTCGTCCGTTTTGAAAATCACACGTAACACCTCATCGGTGGACACGATCGGAGGTGGAATCTGGGGAAGAAAGAAAACCGGGGGGCGGTGAGACAAAAAGGAGGTGAGATGGTGAGACAAGCTGCGAAAAGGCGTAACGAATGAAAGATTAGTGAGAGTTCATTGAACGGAGTGCGCTGGATATATTCGAGACATAGTTACCAGTATAACGCCTTTTGGGGCGACTAACGGAGCGAGCGAGAGGGTGGGCCTTGCACGTGCGAAATTTCGAGGGGGTACCTCCAACTGACTTGTGCACGGCACCTTACTAACCGGTCTCTGGCGATGTGCCAAATTTGAGCACAATCGGCCCAGCCGTTCTCGAGATTTGGAAGCGGCACCCTGCACGTGCGCACGTGCAAAATGGGTCCCAACTGACTTGTGCACGGCACCCTACTAACTGGTCCCTAACCGTGTACCAAATTTGAGCGCAATCGGTCCAGCCGTTCTCGAGATCTGGAAACGACCCCTGCACGTGCGCACGTGCAGCAGCACCCCAACTCTGGCACATGGATATGCATTGCCTAGTGGATGCCTACCTACATGCCAACTTTCAGCGCAATCGGCCCAGTAGTTACCGAGATATTGCAACTATTACAAAAGTGACACCTCTTTGTTTTGCACGTGGCGCGTGCATAAGGGGTCACCCACATGCATCGGGAATAGTCCAATACTTGGTAGAAGGAATGAAGCTACCCTACAAAAATTACCGCATGTATGTAAATCGGTCAAGTGGTTGCTGAGATATAAGCGTCGCAGAATCGTGACCACGGCCGGCCGGCCGGCCGGCCGCTCATACTCAGAAATTTCCGTTATTCTACGTAAGACTCCGCTCGCTTCGCTCGCTCCGTAAAAAAAGCTTAAGGATTCCTGCAGTAAAAGTACAAATTATACCTATATTACTAACTTTTCTGAACTTTTAGCCCCCAACAACCCCTTCCTCTATTTACATCCCTCTCCTACCCTCCTCTCCCTCCCACCCTTCTCTCTCCATCCTTGATATCATCCTCTGTCTTTCCTTCCATCCCCTGCAGCTCCCTCCCTCTCCCAGTTTCCTCCCGCCTTCTCCTTCCCCAACTCGCATTACCCTATGACGTCATATTTACCTCGTTACCACAGTACTTGTGCGGCATATGAGCCGTCTCGTCAAAACCGTCCACCACTTTGACGTTATCGTATCCACAATCCTGTTCATGCTCCAGCTCGAACGTCAGGAACCTGTCACAAAACCAAATGTAACGTTAATGTAACGCATGACTATGCAAGCGCTTAAGTAGCGTATGCACACGTTACTTTAACGCATACGTTAAAGTAACGTATGCGACGTTACGTGAAGCCTACAAGGAAGACATGGTAAAAAATGCCAGCTATTGAGAGAAGAAAAAGCATTGGTGAAAAACGGCGAAGGGGCAATCTTCGGCAAGGTATCTGCACTTGATCAACCAGTGCACCCTGTCTATGAGCTGAAACTTCAGAAAAAAACTCCAATGTAAATGCTTAGCTTTTCGGGGAAAACAGTTGAGAAAATCACAAGCAATAAAAAAACAATGATAAAACATTACATAGATGTTCAATATTTATTGACATCCCAATTGTATTCGGTGGCTTGCTGTTAAGTGAGGGTCAGGGAAAGGTCAGGGAAAGCTCAGATCAGGGTCAGGTCATGTCAGGGTAGGGCTATACCAGGATCAGGTCAAGGTAAGATCGATTTAGATCCGGTTCAGGTCAGGCTCCAGTCAGGTCAGGGTCAGGGTCAGGGTCACTGGTCACTGGTCAGGATCAGGTCGGGTCATTGTTATCGTACCTGAGTCGCACATAGTAGCCCACTGGCGCCTCTATGGTCCAGGTACACTCTGCCCGATTGCCGTAGTTTTCATCGCCGTACTTTGCGTGAGAGTAGAGATGTTGTACCTCGTGTTCAGCAAACAGGTACCCGCCGCACACTGCGGTACACGGGGGTACACAGTGGTCAGTAGAAGTACAGGTACCCGGTACACAGGGGTACACAGTGGTCAGTAGAAGTACAGGTACCCGGTACACAGGGGTACACAGTGGTACACAGTGGTCAGTGGAAATACAGGTACCCGGTACACAGGGGTACACAGTGGTCAGTAGAAGTACAGGTACCCGCCGTGGTACACAGGGGTACACAGTGGTCAGTGGAAATACAGGTACCCGGTACACAGGGGTACACAGTGGTCAGTAGAAGTACAGGTACCCGGTACACAGGGGTACACAGTGGTCAGTAAAAATACAGGTACCCGGTACACAGGGGTACACAGTGGTCAGTAAAAATACAGGTACCCGGTACACAGGGGTACTCATTGGTCAGTAGAAATACAGGTACCCGGTACACAGGGGTACACAGTGGTCAGTAGAAGTACAGGTACCCGCCGTGGTATACAGGGGTACACAGGGGTACACAGTGGTCAGTAGAAATACAGGTACCTGCCGCACACTGCGGTACACGGGGGTACTCAGTGGTCAGTAGAAGTACAGGTATCCGCCGCACAAAACCTTATTTCGAGGTTATTTATTCATCGGCCAAAATTATGGCACAATCCGCGCTAGCAGACTTCATAAGCATTGCCTCTACACCATTTTCGATGCATTTTAAGACAAATGAAGTCCAATTTAAAACAGTTGATTTCTGAATTAAAACAATTGACAGGCGGGTTAAAACACGTGACATTCATCTTAAAACAACTGACATGCGATTTAAAATAAATGAAAAGCAAATTAATATAAATGACATGCAATTTAATCATACAAATATAGGTACGTAAAGCTATGCTGAATAATTATGCTTTGCTGCAAATGAAAAAAATGTGTCCGACTACATGATTATTTGTAGGGAGAAAAGTGAAAGACGCCTCTTTTGGACGAAAGCCACTCTAATCACTTTCAAACACCGAATTACAAGTAACGTTGACAGTTGACCCAATGAACATAAAAATACACAGCACCCGTGACCCTTGTTTATGCCCATGAGGTCATGTCAGGTCACGAAGGGTATCTAGCAGGTTTTAGCAAATAACTTTGGATAGAGGTATGTTAGAGCGATGAAAACGCCTTAGAGTTGCTCCACGATACGGATCGGCTGATACGCAGCATGACCCTATCCGGTCAGGTCAAGACCTTGGCCTGAGGTTATTTTTTCAATTTGACCTTTCAAGGTCAAATTATACTTCATTCGATGCGTCTTGACGAGAGGAACACGATGCAGGTAAAGTTTAGCTCGTGTAAGGCTTGAGTCAAAAGTTAGTGCAAAAAAACTGTCCGCAAAAATCGTCCATTTTGGCAGTTTTTGCCACCTGCACTAGAACGTTGACGTTAGATCAAATATGCAGGGAGAAATATTCAAAGAGAGCGTTAAGTGGGCTATCAAATGCGCTTTTTCTCGGCGCTGTAGCTCTCTTGGTTCCCGAGTTATGTGTCGGCTTCTTAAAATTGTTGACATTTGGCCTGAAAATCTGCAACATTTGGCCTTCAATGACCTCTGGTGACCTGACCTTGACCTGAGCAAAAAGTGACTGAAGTAGTTCCGTCATTTTGTTTGTCACTCTTTCGCACACTGCCTGCCGCGTATCGCTGCGTGGCCCAGGAGGAGTTAGAAGGGGAAGGGTGTTCAAACACCCCCCCCCCCCCAGCAGGGCGTGGAAATCCAGGACCCCCAGCGGGATGCGGGTTAAGAAGGAGAAGGACAGTGTAGTGTAGGATTCAATGTCATCATATGGAAGCTCTAACGCCAGTCACTTTGAATTTTTAATCCAATGAAGCAGGCTATGTTAAAGTTCTACGAACTGTCACAATTCCAAATATGTATGTAGTCGAACACATTGTTTATTTTATCTGCACTAAAATGTAATTATTCAGCAGAGCTTCAAGTAACTATAATTTTATGATTAAATTTCATGTCATTTATATTAATTTGCTGGTCATTTATTTTAAATAGCATGTCAGTTGTTTTAAGTTGAATGTCACGTGTTTTAACCCGCCTGTCAATTGTTTTAATTAAGAAATCAACTGTTTTAAATTGGACTTCATTTGTCTTAAAATGCATCGAAAATGGTGTAGAAGGTGACACATTAGGCCAAGGAAGGTGATACGAAGGTTAACGACTAACGTACATAGCGTGTGTTTCCACGGACTAGCAAAAGTAAAGTCAACCATACAAATTTCCCTAGCTACCAAACACATTTTTAAACATATTCATAGGTCATTTGTTGCTAATATTACATAAACAGACACATAACCATGCGCTGCAGAATGCAGTCACCATGCCCTGTCCAGGTCTTCGACCAGTGACCACTACCTGAGCTGCGGATGCCTGTTCTGTCTAACATAACGTTACCTGTACTGTGTGTGCCAATGAATCCCTTCCGCTGCACGCTGGCATCCGATGTGAAGGTCATGTACATCTCATTTCGGGAGGCGATCACTGGGTGGGGCGTCTTGGCGCCGCAGAACCTGGCAATGACACAGAAAGACAGTGAGATAGACCCTGGCAGTGACAGTCAATGGCAATGAGACAAAACCTTACAGACAATCGGTTATAATGAGACAGAAACTGACAGTTGCCGTGGATACATGAACAAGAAAATGCACATTACCCGGTGAGAGCAGATAAAAGAGATAATCTGACAAGACTAGACAAAAAAATGAAGATCGCACACCAAACATATCATAGAATGATACGCGTCAATAACCCTGCCCCTCCTTCACTGAGTGAACGCATACAAACACGGTGCAAAAAGGGCTCGTTCAGCCCTCTTTCTGTATGAGGTGCTCTCTCCCAGCTCAGAGTAGATGTTACTCACGTGCCCAGTACGGTAGAGTTCTCGGAGTCGCCGTCGTAGACTGTCACGTGGTCATAGGTACACTCCTGGTGATGCTCCAGGTCAAACTCGTTGAACACCTGACCGGAAAACAGAAATGACGTCATTCGGTGACAACTTTTTTGAAACAAGTCAGCTTTTAGGCTCCCTTTGAGGCTTTCGAGCTGCGATTCTTTTCCAGTTTTTTTTTCTTCGCATTTTTGGTCGAACTACGAAAAAATAATATTTCCACACTGCACTGGTATGATCCAGTACGTACCAGTCTGATCCGGTGTCCGGGGGTGGTACTGAAATGCCACACGCAGTCCTTCTTGCTCGGATATGTCTCCGGATACTCCGGACTGGATACCTCGCCAGACGGCGTGTCGATTTCGTGCTTACACCTGGCGGCGAAAAGGAGAACTAATAATTACAGATGTCGTCACCTATCCAGAGTCAGGCTTGGGTCAGGCATTGTAGAGCAGATTGGATAATGGATACCACAAAAAACGTCTAGCACATGAAACCAATTGAATAGCGAACCATCTACAACTTCATCACTTCAGGTCATTCGTCATCTTCCTCTTAGCTGTTTCTCAGTTTCATCAGCATATCCTTCAAAAGCCCTTCAAATCAATGCAGCTACAGCCACACAACATAACATACACACCAATAAACAGCCACCGCCGTAAAGCACGGTTCACGCCGACTCACCCGCCCTCCTTGCAGTCCTTGCCGTTCTCGTGCAGCATAAAGCCGTTGTCACATGCGCACATGAACGAGCCGATTGTGTTGATACAGCGGTGCTGGCAGCCTCCGTTGTCGTCCCAGCATTCGTCCTTATCTGTGGAGGGAACAGAGCTTTAGTAAGCTGGGAGACTAAAAGATGTAGTGTGAACGGGCTTTGGTAGAAATGCAAGTAGATGTAATGGGGGATTAATGGGCGACTTTGAAGTGGGAGTGATGCATTGCTAATCGCATTCATGCAAGATTATTCTACATTCACAAGCCTTTGAAGATAACTTTATACAAAAGTAAATCAAGTTCATGTAATCATAATAACTAGTTGTGCAGCTTTTGTTTCTTGAACATTATAAGGCCTTCTACAAAACATTGATAAGAATTTCAAGCAAGAGGGAACATCACTTATTTTTCTCCTCTCTTCCTTCCCTTCCCTTTCCCCTCACTGCCCTCCCGGCTCCCACCCTCTCATACCAGTAATGAAAACTCCGGCGAATCCCGTCTTCTCCACGGAGCTGTCAGTGAGGAAGGTCAGCTGCAGTTTGTTTGTCTCGCTGGAGATGGCTGGGGGAATGTTACTACCGCAGAACGTGCCGTGTGGACGCAGCTTACCGCCAGGGAGGACGCTGGACACCTCCAGACGGTCGTAGTCGCACTCTTGCTATAAACGACAAAGGGGATACATTTAGAGGGTGCTTGGTGCGTACTCTGCGTAGCTTCGTTCGGTTATAACCTAGTTACAGCAATTCAAACATTGATGTCGTCTTTCATAGCAAGTTTCTTGCTTTACATTTCCTACTGAAAACGCATTTATGGGTTACAAAACAGCGATGTTGGGACAAGTTGAGCATCTAAATTGTAATGAACGAAACGGAGATTCCTTTGCTATTCCCGTCAAAAATGCGTACTCGACGACATGCTCATAAACTTACACAAGCAGCAAAAGCTGAAGGGTGGAGATTACTAGAAGTGAAGGGTGAGTGTACAAATGAAGTATGACTGACAAGAGAAGCCTTAGCCAGCAATCTGACATCAAACCTCGCCATGTTTGTTGACATCATGACACCTATTTCATCCCATGTCCAACTAATTCCTACCACGTCGACCAACAACTCACGTGACTGACGTTGCTACCCTCCAGGTCAAAGTGCGTCAGGTTGAGTGTGATCCGGTGGTTGGGGGCGGCAATCAGCTCCCAGATGCAGTACTTGTTCCGTGGGTAGAGGTCAGGGAAGGAGGGCGATGTCACCGTGCCGTTGTCAGCTTCGATCGTACCGCCGCACGCCTCTGTGGGAGGGAGGGTTGAAAAAGGTCTGAGGTTGCAGTGCTCATACACTAAATCTCTGTTCGAAGGAAACGGTGTAGTAGGGTTACATTGTGCACAGACTAAAATAGATGACAGTGTCAAATGCACTACACAGTTTGAATCTGACCTTTGACTTTTCGAAATTGTCATTAAACAGGTGAATTATAAGTTCGTGAGCTACGAATGAACAAGTGGCTACTGTAAGCTTGTGACGTAAGAAATTGAGTTTGCATATAAGTGAGTCAAGAATGTACAAAAAAAAAAATGAAAGCCAGACTTCACTTACAGACTCAATGCGTCCTTATATGTCAAGTAACTTACACAGGGAATCTAGTTGCTTCCTGTGCTGTACAATTGCATTATGTCAAATGACTATCAAGCATCTGACTACCCAGTCTTCTGCACTACATACTCATCAAAGTTTGTCATACCTTCGCAGCGTTTTCCATCCGAGTGGAGCTCGTACCCGATGCGGCACGAGCAGCGGAAACTGCCGCGCGTGTTGACGCAGTTGTGCTCACAGCCGTGGTTCGGGCCCGAACACTCGTCCAGCTCTGTGGAAAATGCGGGAGCGGTGTCAAAGCCCTGTGGTCGGTGGTCGGTATTGCATTGATGAGATGATAGACGGATCCTTTTTCCACTTCTGCAATATGCACGATAATCCTCCAGACCCTTGCAAAAAAGTTTACGAGCGAACTGTCATCCCATACAAACCTGGAGTTTGCATCTGCCTATCCCGTTTTGCCCTTTCCACCCCATTCTGACCCATCATGGCCCTGTTCATGAACCCTGCGGCCGCTGCGGCCGGCCGCAGGCTCTAAGCTCCGCCTATTTTTGAAACGTCATCACCCACTCGACCGCAATCAGCGTTCCATGAACACGTCTGCTGCCGAAATAGTTTCCGATAATTGCGCGCTTGAGACGATTACTAATCAATAGTTTCCACGCGCTTCTTTTATCTGTGTATTCCATTCCTGTGATGAATTGGGCGTTTCTCAAGGCCGTCTGGTGTTTCTGTATTTTTGTAAGTGGGTCACATAAATGATTTGGTATTTTTTCATTAAATCGTAGCACAAATAACTTAAGTCTAAAATTAAATCTCATATTAAAGCATTAATCTAATTTTTAGGTATCATGGCATGCAAAACCGGACGGAATGAATTTGTTTACAACATCGTCTCCATGGCAACACAGCCTTCACTTTGACTTCAGTGCGCCAAGTTCAATGCAATTACTTTCTTGCGGCTCGGCGGTCGCTGGATTGCGGCCGCAGAGATCGCAGCGGCCGCAGCAAGGTGACGTCATACATTCGTCATACTACATGAGCCCCGCCCCTTTTTGTGACGTAACAACCCGGCTGGCCGCAGCGACCGCCGGGGTTCATGAACAGGGCCCATGTCCCACGCCTTCCAGCCCTATCTCGACCCATTTTCACATCCCGGCACGTCTCAATCCATCATATCCCGTTGCCACCCCATCGCCATTCCATCCCATCCCATTGTGTCTCATCCCATCCCACTTCATCCACCCCATCCCATTCCTTACCATCCTACTCATCCCATCTCGTCCTCACCTGTCATAAAGTGCGCCGCGAATCCCGGCTTGGGGACACTGCCATCCGACACAAACCGTACCCACAGGTGGTTACCAGAACTAGTAATCGCCTCGGGTACCTGGTAACTGCGGGGGATAAAACAAATGACGTCACTGGAGGCAAAATGGCGGCACGGCGGAGCGAGACTTGTGTTATCGGGTTACGAATCGTTGGCTTGTTTAAAACGGCGATATTTTTTTGGTATGAAAATTTATTTGCCCTCTTGGTGTTTGTTTCTAGATTTGTGTGCGCATGTTAGCATACACATTACACATGCATAGACCTCTGTATACCGGTATACAGAGGTCTATGACACATGCCATATCGAAATATATGTCTATTAGCGATATTATCAACGCGTGTATATTTAAAGTTTGGAAGCTCTGAACAGCCCAAAATGTTTCAGTAGTCCTTGGTTATCATATTCCTACATCCTCTTGTCTTTCTTATGTTGATCGCAAGCTCGTCACAACCGCATACAAAGGCACAAATAAACAGTAAATGTGTACCAACAGCAGAATGAACCACGAACAAACTTCTAAGTGAACGATGAAATTCTAACAAAGAACGAATAACGATCGACCAAACAGCAGAACCAGAGAGAAGTCGTGGGCATTTAGAGATGCAGTCTTACCCGCAGTATTTGCCCACGAGCGGTGAGTCGCTCGTTGGTCCGTTTCGCACCTCCACATAATCGTACAGGCAGGTGTCATGGTTTTCCACCTGTGTGGGGACAATAGGCGCTGTCAGAGGGTGTAAAGGTTGGTGTTAGGTATGTCAGAGACAGTACACATTCAGTATGTAGAGTTGACATTAAGATTCCATAGTTCGATTTCTTCTAGTGAGTAGTGATAATCTGGTGATAATTTAAGGAGGAATGCAAGTCTTATTCAATGGAAGATTTGATTGAACCACGGCATGGTAACTGACAATATTTATAGTCTTTTTTTTTGCCAATCAACATATCACGAATGCCCTATGAACGGCCTACGAAATCTGAATAAAATCTGCATGCATTCATGAACAATAGCACGGACGAGCTCATAACCATGCAAGCGTCGGAAAAACGTCAGTTCTGACTATAATACAGGACACTCGGTTAAATAATACCACAGACAGAGACTCAAAACATGCATCAAGCAACGCGGTTTTCGGTCATTATGTAGATTGCAGCATCACAGCATGAACCACCAACTCTAATAAGCAAGGCTTACTTGGAATCCACTTCATTGCAAACATCCACGCAAAAACTCATCAGATATTCGCAAAAAGTCAGAGAGATCACTCATTCAGTCTCTGTCACCGTTAACCAAATGACACCCATCCCGCATAAAAACCTATTCATTCCATGCTTTTCTACAAACTCTACGGTTTCCACACTTTCATCAGTTTCCCACCTACCGTTCTGCGAGCATCCACCTCGAAGGCAATGCACTCATCACTAAACAAGCAAACTCCGTGCACTTCTCAACTTTCAACTCCCACACTTTCATCAGTCTTCCACCTACCGTTATGCGGGCACCCACCTCAAAGGCGGTAAACTCGAAGGCCACCTGATGTCCCTCCTCGACTGTGATCAGCCACACGCAGTCCTGGTTTGGCCGGTAGTAGTCCGGATAGTTGGGGGACTCGAGAACGCCCTCACGGAGCTTCAGCTCGCCGCCGCATACGGCTGAAAAAAAAATGACGACATAGGGTCAGATTATCAAAAAAAAAGTTGAACTCCATGACTGGTAGATATTTGTGACGAAACAATTCAATACTATGAAGCAAGGTTGATAAGAGTGTTGCCGTTTTGTTCACAAAGAGTCAATGAGCGGAATCATCAACAGAAAGAACAAACATGGATAAAAGTGTTCCACCACTCACAGACTTAGGGGCTAGAGCCTTGAGCAAATAATTAGATATTCACAACGGTAGAGGCTATTTGATTGCCACGGACACTCAACACCTGCCAGTTGAAAAGAGCCTTAAAAAAAAACGATAAAAGCCAGCAATTACATACAATACAATTAGACACCTACAACCGTAACGCACACAATCACTGTATAGTTTGCAGAGAATCTCTGTCGTTCTGCCCACCTATCTGTGATTAGACAATACCACACAATTTCCACCATACCTGTATAGTTGGCGGTGAACCCCTGTCGCTCTGCCGACCTCTCCGTGACTACATAGGTGACCAGCAGACGGCGGCCGGTAGAGACGACCAGTTCAGGGACGGAGCCCGAGCCGCAGAATCGACCTGAGGGGGTAAGAGTTGGGTGGTCAGGTCAGAGAGGGTCGAATTAGGGAGTGGGGAGGGTCTAACAGGCACATCACTCTGGATGCATGGTGCAGTCCTAAGGATTTAGAAGGGGAGAAGGACTAGCACGAATAAGAACGCATGCAGATGGAAAAGGCGAGCTGCACCATATCTTATAAACAAGAATGCAGAGCATTTAAAGAAATCGAGTAACGTAAATTGAAAATAGAACAGCGGATTAGCAATGACAAAAGCAATCACAGCACAAAATAAATATACGACGACAGTAGCAATAATATCCAACATTGACCCAGCATAGACACTGGACAGCCATTGTGTTACAGCGACCAGCTGACTGACAGCGCTGAAAGCGATGCGCTTTGAATGAACAACTTTGATCCACATGTGCTACACCTGAGGTCATTAACGCTAAATTACTGACGATTGATTCAATTGTACAGGCATGATACCTATACAAGTAACAGCCAGAAGGAAGTACGACGTTGGTACGACGCATATCGTCAAGTTATTCAATCTACTGAAAATTAGAAACATTGAACGGCTATTCTTCGGCAATGGAGTCGTTCGGAAGGTTTATTCTTCTACCGCTAGATGGCAGGACTATTAGCGCCTGCAGGTAGACTGTGCCGCAGAGCTTACAACCTTGCCGCTAGGTGGCAGGCAGTGACGGCGCCTGAAGGTATGCTGTACCGCATTGCCTATAGGCTTATTGCGTATGTTTCTCGACAGCCATCGGCTAGTCAGGGGGATGGCATAATGGCTCATGTTTGGTGTCATGAACAATAGCTCTTAAAATGATGAATTATCAAGCGAAAAACGTAATGAGTGGGCTTCGACACGGTACTGCAAGGAAATAAGAGATAAAAAACAAGCACACATTGTACGAAATAAATAGGTGGAAACGTGCGAATACCTTACCTACTTTTTTAAACAAAACACGCCTTTGCTTCGACATAGTAACTTTATAGAATGAGCGAATGATGAAAAAAGTTGTGTAACTGCTTTCAAAACATCTCGGTCTTTTCTCTCGCTCGTTGTATAACCGCTCTCTGCCGTTGTATAACCCTGCTCCCACTGCCGTCTGCTCGTCCACACAGCTGTTTCTCTTTGACCGGCTGTGTACGGCCTAATGCGCCTCTAATGGTAGTCACAGAGGTGATAAAGGGCCACTCGGACCGAGCCTGGCTGTGTGTCAGTACGGTGAGCGCGGCGGTGGGTGACTCGGGTCGAAGGGAACGGGATGAGGCGTACACGGTGAGAGTATGATGATCAGTCTTTAGGAGGTGGTAGGTAAAGAGATAAGAGAAGCCGTGCTCCAAATGAGTAAGAGAATCGTACGCACTGCGCATTTGTTGGCTATTCTTCAATTGATTACTGGAATATATAATAGTGAAAAAGGATTACGCTTTTCCTGCGCCGTGGATTGTTACAATACAACTGCTAACTTTTTCATTTCCATCACAAAATATAGTCCGCTGACCAAAAAAAAAACTAACTGAAAAGATAGATTTGAAGACAACGTCTAACCTGGAGGTAAAAAGCAGCGTTGTGATAATATCGTATCATCACCATTTAGCTGTCCGTGTCCCACCTCAAAATTTTTACCATACCCCCCCCCCCCCCCAGAATATTCTCACAAACATTTTACATTCCAGCTGTATAAGCCACAGCGGCAGCCCTCGTTTGGAGGACCACCACGGCGCCACCATGGGTCAGTCGGTGTCTCTGACGGACTTCGACTGGCAGCTGGACAGCGACGAACCGCACGCCGTCCGACGCAGAGAGATCCTCAGTGAGTGTCGGAGATTCAGTGAGAGATTTTAAGTTTCTAGACAAATTTAGAGAATAAATTCTAACATATCCAGAAACTAGACTCTCTAGAAGTAGAATCTTCTATAAGCTAGGACGGTGAACACTGGACGGCCAATATGGTTGGCCTGAATGGACTGTTAAAGAACTATCTGCCAAGCAACGTAACACATGATCGCATTTTTCGAGGGCTTGATTTACGTTCCTTGCGCATTCCATTTCCATATCAACGACAATACGACTCTTCGGTAAAAAAGAAAGAAAAAATTATGCAACGGAAAATGACGCGAAAATTTCATCAGATAATATCTATTAGCTTTAACCCGGCAGTTGCTGGGGTATTTCGCCACCCACCGTTTGCTGGGGGGGGGGGGGGGGGGCGTTAAACGCCCCCAGCCGATAACTCGAGAACCAATAGGCGCAGCGAAACGCACGAGGCGGCAAACGAAAGAACGCGACGAGACGCTTCAGATGAGTACTTTAAAGTTGAATTTTGAGGTCACATGTCAGGTCAAGGTCAGGTCAAACACCTGAAATCGGGCTTTCAGTAGCATGGAATTCAGGACTTCGCAATGGGCGCCTCTCGTCATAAACTCTGTCAAAACGGTGCACAATCCATCATATATGGCCTACAAGAGTGTCAGCTCCATATAGGGGTCAGTCAAGCATAGGTCAGGGTCAAGGTCAGGTCAACCGGGCAGGCACATATCCCCGAAAATCAAAACTGATATTCGCAGCCTGTGACATGTGTTTTATAGGTAATTTGGGGCGTAGAACACGATGGTGACATTGATGTTACCATATGTGTACGTGTTTGGCTAAAAAAGTTCAATTTAAGAAATGCATGTATCATGGTCGTGAAGTAGTCACGAGAAATTGCCAAGATTCAGTTCAAGATTTTGGAAAATGCGGAACGATAATCAACAATCGAAGATAGCCATTTGATTGTTCATGGTATTGGCAGTCTAATGGCGTTTACGGCATGTCTGTATGTCTATTCTGTGATTTTATATGATTTTTTGAACATATGCCGTTTTTGGTCGAAAACTCAGAAATCATGACGTCACTAAAACCTCGATATCTAAAAAAAAATTCCGACTGATTTTTTTGAATCTTTGTCACAATAAACTTCAATCAATTCCCTACAGGTACCCAAAATTTGCGCGCCGTTTTTATGCTATGGCCCGGCGAAAAAAGTGGGGGCGTTTAACGCCCCCCCCCCCCCCCCCCCCAGCAACTCGCGGGTTAACCATTGTTACATTGCGCTTAAAAATGTCAGCGCCGTTCAAGCGTAGAAACCCTTTCTGACTCTGCCTCCCCGCAGAGAAACACCCCGAGATCAAGTCACTGATGGCCAAGACGGACTACAAGATGGTGGTGATGACGTACGTGTGCGTCATCGCCCAGCTGGTCACCGCCTACATGGTCAAGGACTCCAGCTGGTTCAACGTGGTGTTGCTCGCCTACACGTTCGGCGGCTGCATGACGCACCTGCTCTGGTCCAGTAAGGAGGAAATGAGAGTTTCGACGGCGATTTAGATGGGCGATTTTATTATGAAAGTAGTCAAATTATGTCTTATGTCCCTATAATAAGACCTAGAATGTGTTTTACTCGGACAGTGTGCTTATTTCGGAATGATAGCAGACTAACTAACTTTCGTGCTAACTCGCTTGAAATGTTACCGACTTCTTAGCTTATCCTTCGTGTCGGTTAAATTTATTGTCCCATTCAAGTTTTTTTCTCATCCACCACCTGTGCGCGAGGCATCCCACTGGACCTTATTTAGTCCCTCATTGACCCATTAGTCTTCCAAAACCTTGTTAGTCCCACAGTGATCATTTTTACTACCTCACTGACCCTTTTCAGTCCCCCACTGACCCTTTTTCTCGCACCCAGTCGTGCACGAGGCGTCTCACCGCACCCTGTTCGGCCGGAGTCGCCCGATGGCCAACACTCTGACCGCCATGGTGGCCAACACCCCCGTGGGATTTCCCATGGCCGTCACCTTCAAACGCTACCACATGCTCCACCATAGGGTGAGTGAGAGAGAACGATGAACGTATGTTGTCCAACAAACAGAGATGGTAGAACATCAGAAGAAAAATGGCAAAGCAACAAATATTTCTGTTAAGTATTTATTACTTATAATTCCATGAGCTTCCACGAGCTTCCGTGAGCTCGAGCTCGTAATGCTTCCATGAGCTCGAAGTTGGTATCATTATTATTATTTTCACCCTTGATAAATTATTTAGACAGAATTTCAAAATAAACCTAAAGGAAGTTGAATGACTTGAATATACACTTCCAAAATGTGTAAGCATTGCTAACCCGCGCCCTGCTGGGGGGGGGGGGTGTTTGAACACCCCCCTTTGTGGGTTTTCGCGAATATCTCAAAAACGGCGGCGCGGAGCGCCGCCGTTTTTGGTACACCTTATCATACATCAATTCTACACAAGTTGTGAAAATTTCAGACCAAGGTCATTCAAGGTCAGGTCACCAGGTCACTTGAAGTGACCTCACCTCATAAAAAGTTTCAATGTCTGTCAAAGCTACACCGAGTGACCGATCGCTTTGAAACTTTCAGCGATTGCTAAGAGCAATAGCATGTACAAAATGTATATCTCAGAATTTTGATATCGATGACCTAAGGTCAGGTCAATTTTGCGACCTCCCCATTATAAGTCAATGGGAGAAAATTGAAATGCGCCTCTTTTTGACGAAGGACATTATAAACACTCCCAAACACTGAATTACAAGTGGTTTAGACACACTGAACATGAAAATGGTGTCCGTGACCCCTGTTTATGCCCTGAGGTCATCTTAGGTCACGAATGGTATCTAACAGTTTTTCGCAAATAACTTTTGATAGAGGCATGCTAGAGCGATGAAAACGCCTTAGATGTGTTCAGCTCGACGATACGGATCGACTGATATGCAACATGACCCTTTCCGGTCAGGTCATGACCTTGACCTGAGGTCAAATTTTCAAGTTGACCTTTCAAGGTCAAGTTATAGTTCATTCGACGCGTCTTGACGAGAGGAACACGATGCCGGTAAAAGTAAGCTCGTACAAGGCTTGGGTCAAAAGATATTGCAGAAAAACTGTTTCCGAAAAAATCGGCTATTTTTGCAGTTTTTGCCCCCTGCAGGCAAAACCGTTGACGTTAGGTCAAATCTGAGGGAATTTCCAGAAAGGGCGTTAATAGGGCTATCGAATGCGCTTTTCCGCGGCGCTGTAGCTCTATTGGTTCCCGAGTTATGCGCTGGCTTCTTGGAAATTGTCGACATTCGACCTGGAAATCGGCGAAATTTTGCCTTCAATGACCTCTGGTGACCTGACCTTTGACCTGACCAAAAAATTGACCGAAGTGATTTCTTCATTATTTTTGACGCTCTTTCGAACGCCGCCTTCGGCGTATCGCTACGTGGCCCAGGAGCCGAGTTAGAAGGGGGGGTGTTTGAACACCCCCCCCCCCCAGCAGGGCGTGGAAATCCAGGACCCCCAGCCGGGCGCGGGTTAAGATGTGTGAGTTATTACCAGTTTCCGCAGCAATGTGTCTCCCTCCAGGCACTCACTAACTTAATCTCCCTAATTCCTCTCTGCAGTACGCGCAAGGTTCATCTACGTAGGCAATAAGCACTACAGTAACCCCATTCACCCAAAGGACAATTACCACAGCTCCACGTAACATGACCTTTCTCTCCCCATTGCTCTATTCAGTACCAGGGCGATGGGCGCTACGACGTCGACCTGCCGACCTACTTCGAGGCCAAGATGTTCTCCACCACTCTGGGGAAGGTGCTGTTCTGCATCCTTCAGCCGGTCTGCTACTACGTCAGACCCCTGTTCATGCTGCCCATGACGCCCACACTGCTGGAAGTCGTCAACGTCCTTCAGATTCTGGCCGTAAACTACGCCGTGGCACACTACTGGGGTAGGGGAAAATTGATAGTTTTGTGGGGGAAATTGAAAGTGGGGGAGGGAAAATGGGTCATGGGGCAGGAAAAAGGATCGTAGGGGTAGCGGATAAGAGGCATGTGGGGAAGGGGAGAAGTGTGGTCGTGTGGTTAGGGGAAACAGACTATAGGGGGGTGACAAAGAAGTACCGAGACAAGGGAAACGAATCGTGCGGTAGATGAAACGGAAAATGGGGCATGGCGATGGACGATGGAGTACGAAGAACGGGTAAAACGGCTATGACAAACTAAGTGGATAATGGGAAAATGATCACTGTTATGAGATTAGACTAAAAGAGACAAATCGAGACATGAACAAGATCGATGATAAGGTACGATGGTTTGCAGCTAAGTCAAGATGACTGGATTTGTTGAATTTGTAGTGTTCCTTCCTTACTCTCTGACCAGAGGAGTCTCAGACCTAGCGACCTCTGACCTACACCCCCAGGTGCCAAGGCGTTCTTCTACCTTCTGGGCGGTTCGCTGATGACTCTCGGTTTCCACCCTCTGGGCGCACATTTTATCGCCGACCACTACCTCTACGAGAAGGGCAGCGAGACGTATTCCTACTACGGATGGCTCAACATGTTCGTCTTCAACGGAGGGTGCGTGGGGTATTACACTACACAATAGGTGCACCACATCGAGATGTGAAGATATTTACTTTGTTTAGGGTAGCATGTTACTCGATATGGTGAGGTGTTTTGTAGTCGAGAAATGGACCATACGATCTTTGATATAATCTAATGACAGCCATTTTAAAATTTGGGAAAATGACAAAATAATTTCGATAGACCATCCTTTAAACTTCAATGATGTTTTTACCTCATGTAGCTTGCTACTGTCTGTCAAGTTTTCAAATACCCGCGGGCTGGCACGGGGCCCCCTGTAACCATTTTTTTTTTTTGCTGGGCTTTTGGTTCATACTCCCATCCGTGAGAATTTTAACCCTAAGAAAGTGTCGAAAATACTTTCTTAAAACCGCCCTTCTGCCTTCTTTCAGCTACCACAACGAGCACCACGACTTTCCATCTGTGCCCGGCTCCTACCTTCCGGAGGTGAAGAAGATGGCGCCCGAGTTCTACACCAACTACATCCACGACAGCTGGTGGACCTCCATGATCAAATTCATCAAGGTCAGAAGAGAAAAAATGGCATGGGGATGTCTGATGATAACGATATTATGTTGAAAAGTTGCAATGCGCATTTGTCGTTTGCCTCGTGTGAGGGCGCAACGTCAATGTAACTTGCAGTAGCATGTCGACCTGCATTGGAAATAATAAAACCATTAACTAATCTAATTAAAACACGAAGATGCTGATTTAAATTGTTGGTATCCGATACATGTGACCAGTGCGTAAATGCCCAATGGCTAATACCCTGTATTCCTCAAATCGCAGTTAAGCTGCTAAATTTTTGGGCGGTTGACATGGTATGATAATACAAGCTCGATAAACGTTCCTAAATTTAGCTGACATTTATCATACTTTTATTTGTTTCAGGACAAGGATATGGGCATGTACTCGCGAAGGGTCCGTGAGATCCCCAGCGCCCTCAAAACCAACAGCAAGGACTCGTAGTGGACCAAGACGCAGTGATGTCGAAATGCAAGAAAACGTGGGAAGAGCAGAGTCATCTTTACCAGCATCAATGCCGCTTTGAAGACACCGTGGTATATGACAATGCATTGCATCCTGACAACAATACTCAGACATGGATCATGATGTAGACTGTTGGAACTGAGCATAGTGTATAGTTGTATATAGGTGATGCTTACATAAGTCTGTGAATGCATGCAAAATAAATGCAACCAAGGCAGCGAACAGATGTAAAGTACTACCAGGTGATTCCTCGGAACAACATTTAAATAAAACGTTTCGATTATATTATTCCGTGTTTCACACACAAAAAAAAAATTAAGATAAATCATTACAGGTGGGAAAAATATGTGAGCTATACCATGCTACGCGGAAATTATCACACGCAAAGACGGCTAAATAATACAGGACGGGCCTCAGGTCGAGCTAGCCTAGCAGAAAGCTATGCTATCTCACCTAGCAGTGACCAGGCCAGTATCCAGAATAACTCACCTAGTGGCGCGCTGTGGTGCCAGTATCACTCACCTCGAGAGTTAGTAACTCACCTAACAGTGCGCAGTGGCGCCAGTTTATCTTACCTCAGGAGTTGGAAGAAACTCACTCAGAAGGGCGCTGTGGTGCCCGTAACTCCTCTCTCGAGTTAGTAACTCACCTAATAGCGCGCTATGGTGCCAGTATAACTCACCTCTGGTGTAGCTCACCTGAAGCTAGTAACTCCTCTCCAGAGTTAGAAACTCCTATCTGTAGAGTTGGTAACTCACCCAGCAGTGCGCTGTGGTGCCAGTAGCCGTCGCGGACCTCCAGGTAGTCGGTCTCACAGCCGTCACTGCTGTGGATGTCCAGGTCACTGATGTTGAGCACGATACGCTCGCCGTGGGTGGCAGTGATACGCCACTCGCAGGAGTGACCTGGGGAGAGGTCAGGTCAGGTCAGTTAGTTGAAATATCCAATACACACGGCCACAGTGTATTCAAGATAAAATACAGTTTCCACGAACTTTATAAATCCTAGTCATTTTTGCTCGAGACCTAATCAAATTCAAGAGTTACACAAAAACACATGTTCACTCTTGTATGTTTTAAATCGAACTCCTGGCACTACAGAAGACTATCCACAAAAATATAGCTCAATTTAAACGATCACCCTACCGCCAATAGTTTACAGTTCCAATGTCACACGTTCCTTGTATTGAGAGTAACTGTATGAAATTCCACGATCAGGTACTCTCAATATAATACTTGACAAGATTATAATTACACAGTCACCCGTCCCCTCTCCTTGCGGCAACTGAGTTATCGCCCTCACCGTGGTTGGGCCTCAGTTGGGGCGGAGGGGCGCTGAAGGTGCCGTTACTCATTTGAAGTGTCTCTCCACAGGCTGAAACGGTAGAGAAGGCCCGTGAAGAGGGCTGGGTGAGCTCTCAGACAGGGCGGGAAGCAGATGGCAACGCGAGATAAGGCGTAAACAATAGTAGATTTGCCGGACAAGAAGTGGTGCATTTTAGCACAAAGTGTACCGACAAATTTTGTATACCCATCAAAACTTAGGGAAGATATTAATACGATTCGCTGTGAAAAAAGTTAGATAAGAAACCAATCAACATTTTAGGCGTGTGAATAAAAGTTATAGGAAGCAACAATCAACTAACGGCTGTCACACTCAGAGAATCTAGAGTTCACAGAGCCAGTCTCTTCAAAGCTTCAGTTCCCTATCCATCCGCCAGGTGGCAGTAACGCAGCCTCACTCACCGGAGCAGTTATACATTCTCATTGTCTGAGCGATATCCCCTTGGCTGAGCCTCAGTCGCTGGCCGATCTGGGGCATATTGGGTCCGTGCCGGACTCTTGGCAGAATTGTGTCCAGGTAGCTATTCTGTGGGAACATCAACAAACGGTAAATTGAAATAAAGGATACATAGGTATCTGTAAAAACCTTCTCAGTTCTCAGTCGTAACCATTGAGATGCGTAAGAAGTTACAATAGCTGATGATTGCGATCGATATTGATGTCGCATTACCATTGCTCAAAGTCTAAGCCATGACTCCAAGCTTGTAGGCCTGGATTCTAGAGACATCTAAACGAAAATTACATGCGAAAATTACGAAAAATAGATAAATGAAGCATGCGATAGCCCGCAGGCTTTAACACAAAGTAAAACATTGGCTGTTATGTACAGAACGGACATGTAGGCAGCCAACGAGGAGGCAAAATGGTAAAAATAGATAAAAACCCATTAAAATTTTATGGCAGCTCACGGTTACAACTCTCACAAATATGTAGCTGAAGTCTCATCAACCAGCACCCATTATCGATTCTCAATAAAATTGCACCTCGACTCTACAAAGAGCCAAGACATCCGACCGCTAGACCCAGCGGATGAACAGACTACAGACCTTGGAGAAGGTGTTCCTCGCGTAGTGCATGATGGACTCGTAGTCGTAAGGAAGGCCGCGGCTGTCCACGTCCTCTCCCGTCATCTTGTTGAAGTTGAAGTCCTGACCTGAGGAAGAAGGTGACGTCTTAGAAGAGGATAGACGACAGATGTGACAAGCAGGACAGATGTGTCAAGCAAAATCGACGCGTCGGAGAAGCGTTCACTGGTCTATCTAGATAAAATTCATGCCGTAATCTTAGGTCCCAATCAGGGGCGGATCCAGGAAAACTCCAAGGGGAGGGTCATGAATCGAAGTGGTGCCCCTACCTATACCCAAAATTAAAAACTCAACGGATTTCGTCCACTTCATTTTGGTGGTGCCCCCATTTTCAGTTTTTTATTTTTATTTTTTATTTTTAGTCAGTATCTTACCTCTTAGCCACAACCACATTTACCAATTGTAAGCAAGTATATATGAATGTGCTATGTGTATATATGTTGTGGACGCTGAGTACCTAATGAGTACTTACCACTACCAGGAACGTTATCAGGTAAGCAAATCGTTGTCAGTCCGACGAACTTGACCCTGGCGTCTAAAGGGTCTGTCCTTGACACTTCAGGCTTGTCAGGGGCACCAAAGTTCTTCCAGGGACACCACAAACCTGTCAGGGGCACCTACGGCCTTGTAGGGGCGCCACAGGCCCGCCAGGGGGCACCACAGGCCTGCCAGGAAGCAGGGGCACCACAGGTCTAGCAAGTATACACGACAGGCCTGTCAGGGGCACAACGGGCCTGTTGGGCCCATGAGCACCCCTAGGGGCAGGGGCACCACAGTCCTTCCAGGGGCACCGCAGGCCTGTGAGGGACACCAGCGGCCTAGCAGGGGCACCAGTCAACACAGGCCTGCCAGGGGCACCACAGACCTGCCAGGGGCACCAGAGGCCTGCCAGGGGCACCAGAGGCCTGCCAGGAGCACCACCGACCTCGCAGGGGTAACTTGGGCCTGTCAGGGCCCAGGGGCACCACGGGCCTGTCGAGAGGCACTTCAGGCTTTTCAGGGGCACCATAGTCCTCTCAGGGCGCAGGGGTAGCAGGGGCACCAGAGGCCTGCCAGGGGCACTACAGGCCTAGCAAGGGCACCACTGGTCTATCAGGGGCACCACGAGCCTGTCATAGCCAGGCATCTCAGGCTTGTCAAGGCCCGGGGGCACCACAGGTCTGTGAGGAGCACCAGCGACCTAGCACGGGCACCAGTCAACACAGGTCTGCCAGGGGCGCCACAGACCTGCCAGGGGCACCACAGACCTGCCAGGAGCACCACAGACCTGCCAGGGGCACCAGAGGCCTGCCAGGGGCACCACCGGCCTCGCAGGGGCACCTTGGGCCTGTCAGGGGCACGACGGGCCTGCCGAGGGGCACTTCAGACTTTTCAGGGGCACCAGTCCTCTCCGGGCGCAGGGGCACCAGAGGCCTGCCAGGGGCACCAGGGGCCCAGGGGCACCACAGTCCTTCCAGGGGCATAACAAGCCTGTCAGGGGCACCAGAGGCCTAGCAAGGGCACCACAGGCCTGCCATGGACACCACAGGCCTGCCAGGGGCACCACCGGCCTTGCAGGGGCGCCTCAGGCCTGTCAGGGGCACCACGTGCCTGCCGGGGACACTTCAGGCTTGTCAGGGGCGTTACAGTCCTGTCAGGGCCCAGGGGCACCAGGCCCGTGGTGTCCCTGCTAGGCCTGTGGTGCCCCTGGCGGTCCTGTGGTGCCCCTGTCAGGACTGTGATACCCCTGATAGGCCGGTGGTGCCCCTGGAAGGTCTTTGGGCCCCCGGGCCTCAAGGGGGGGGGGGCCATGACCCATGTGACCCCCCCCCCCTTGGATCCGCCCCTGGTCCCAATAAAATGTAATTGAAAATATAGTTCGTTAACTGTTTCTTTAGTAAACTGATACATTGACAGGCCTGCAAGCTTTTCGGTTTCCCATTTCGACTTGTTCAAACGGGAACAAATCATGCGACAAAACGCGCCATTGTAAGACTGTATTAATCACGGTAACCAAACATTTCCGTGACCAAGTTTCTGATCGGCTCCGCACCGCTGATTAAAAACCTTCTCCAAGTGCAGCGCAATCCAAACGTTGCCGTTTGAAATTTCCGGGTTTGAAAGAGCTGGGCAGCAGACTGGCTGGCCTGCCACAGATAGAAACAAATAAGAGCTTTCAGCAAGAGATTTGAGGTCAATCGGTTACCCTGAATGGGGGAGTTGTTCCTATGAAGGTAGAACAAACTAGTAGGATTGAATAGATCGAGGAATATAGAGGCATCCAATGTCGTTCAAGGATATGCATAGTTTCTTTGATGTTTGGGGTTCTCTTGCTTAAATGATAAATACAGTAATGTTAGCTTCTTCAAGCTGGATGCTTGTTGCCAAACATTTTATTCGGATATGCCAAGCAGATTATGCTGATTGACTCTCCCTTCAGACCTAGCGCACTTCGCTTATACATCCGAAACACACATCGTTGATCTATCTCTACGAATTTGATTTTTCTTTCATCCCACTCCACTATCAAAGTCACCTGCAAATCATCAAAGCACGCAAAGCAGCTCTGCACGGAAAGACAAAAAAAACTAGCAGGAATGATCATCACCCGATTAACCTCACGCGTTTGAATTCCAGAGAGAAGCGAGTGCGATCTATTGAAGCATGACTCATCACACACATCATCACTGTCCCGATTCGTCAGCGATATTGCCAAATATGGTGTTGATTACACGCGGTTCTCACATCTAGAAGCGACAGTATCACTAATGGAATCAGTTGCGGTCGTTAATCTTGTCATCGCCAAATGCCAGTTCAGTTTCATTTTACAGTGATGAGCTGTTATTAGGTTAGCTTCATTGAAGAGTGTCACTTAGGATTGATGTATGATGGCATGCATCAATCATACTTAGCGAAGAATGCAGTACCTGAAAGATCAGTGATCAGTGGTCACGCGTCAATACGTGTGGCTATAAGACTGGCTTCCTTTGAGTTGGACTAGTGGTTTCAGATAGGCATATTTTAGTAGATGTTGGTTATCAGTAAGCTTAGAGCTCGATTTCATCACATACCCGCAATATTCTTTAACTTTTTTTTCTCTTAAGTATGCGTAATATTGGCGTTGAATAGCTTAAGCATTTTTCATTTTATACTTCTTCAGTGAAATAGTGCATTGGTCTAAGGCTCATGCCCGATCAATGAAGCGTAAGCCGGTAGCCCAGATTCGGCCAACTCAAATAACACAAACAAGAATTGGTTGAGAACCAGCAAACACACGTCCAAACGGCAAACAAACACCCGCTGAAAGCCAACAAACACAGTGGCCAGACACCTCCCACCAATCGACAAACAAACCGGTGAGAAGCCAAGGCCGAGCGCAGATCTTGAGGCCGAGATGGATGAAGGCAATTTTAGGAGCAATAGGACTAGAATGGCTTTAATTTAAACGACAAGAAAATGTCATCTACTTATCTATTTTATTTTACCTACGGACATAATGATTCTTTGTTGTTCCATCCTGATCGGTTACGATAAAAATTAACTCACTCATATAACGGAACTTCAGTAAGGGACCGTTGTATCATCTTCAGGGCCTTTTTGGACGTAACTGTAACGTCTTCAATAGGCGATGATCAATGATCTTTTGCGACAACGTTCATAGCTCAGTATTGCAACACCAACAAATGCGCACTAGTAATCTAGAAAGACTTTTCTTTAGCAGCCTCGAATAGTTACAGTGGATTTCCATGAGAAAGAATTCGATTAACTGGATCGGAATTCTAACCAAATCTTCCACTCTAAATCGCGCCGTAGTAATTTGGTTATCAAGCATTTTGACCGTTCTGGTGTCAGCCAACTTCCGTCCGAGTCTGCTCACCACGGAACAGAGACAGCTTGTCCTGCTGGCTTTCTTTTTAATCTTCACTGGTGTCCAGAACAAATGGACCAAATTAAAGCCGTCACCGCCTCAGCCAAAGGCTGAAAGCGCAGTTGCAGCCAGCTCGCAAGATGCGCCAAGGCCATAGCGCTCGAGCGTATACTCCATCCGGCTGGGAAAATAATAACGGAATAAAGGAATGTCTGCAAGAAACTTATTGACAGACTGACCACAGAGTTGCCCATGACATGCTGGCTGATTGATGCTAATTTCGGTCTTAATAACGCATCTACTTGCCCATGACACCTCAGGAATTCAATTTGAGGAGTTGAGTGGGAGGGAGATGGGTCACATCGTGTTTTGGTCAAAAATCATGCCGGTATTCTGGGAATAATGGCATGATCTTCCCGTTGAAATACCTAATGATTGTGTAGCTATCTTTAGAAACCATTTTTAGCTACCAATGGTTTGAGCTAAAAATAGCATAATGGTTCAGCTGGTTTTCTTCCAAACAATGTTTAAGACGAACACATCATCAATGCCATTCTCCATGAATAGCACGTGTTGTGTTGAATAAACACATTCTTCATGAAAATTAGAGCAAAAGTACGTGCCTCGTCAATCACCCACTCACCTTCCATGATATTTTCGGTGAAGATTTCCACATGGTGGTCACGATCGGGTCTCGTGTGCTCGTGCCAAAAGCCGACCACGTGGCCCAGCTCGTGCACCACGATACCGAACTTGTCGCAGTTCTTCCCGATCGAGATGGCTTGCTCACCGTTGCCACGACGACCGACAAATGAACAGCACCTGTGAGTATGGACAGCGGTTACAGGTCGCAGAGACATACGCACTGCAGAAAAATGACTCGTAAATACGCGATCCACTGCGGAAAAAATGTTTTGTCACGCAAGTTCCGGGCCACGGCGTATTGATGTGTTATTTATGTGATGTCAGCTATTATTGCTGGGAAACCAAAGTGAATTTCTGATATAAAACTGAAAAACATGATAAAAATTGGCAGTGTTTTATCGGTGCTTTGACAAGCGTGTGATTCACTTTTTTACTGGACATTGAGACGCGGTATCGTCTGAAATTAACCCTCATCGGCATATACGGTGCGAATAAATCAGATGGCAATCAAATCACTACAACGGAATCACCGAGCATCTTCCCTAACCTTCCGAGAAATCCAATGACTCTCCTGCTATACGCGTGGGCGTTTATAGCCGCCAATTGCAGAGAATTAACAACCTAACCGAGACCAATTCCCCATCTGGGGCGGATCCTTTGACAGACTCCCCGGGAGCCTCCTCCCCTGACGGGGCCCGGGGCGGGAGCAGTCGGGCAGACCTCCGGTGTGGGGAGGGAGGCCGCCGACGGGAGCGTCCTCCCCGCTCTCCCCAGGAAGTGAGATGACGTCATATCAATGGGAGGCAGCTGACTCATCGGAGGGTTCTCTTCGGGTTCTAAAGATTGGGAGAGGGTGGACAATGAACGGAGTAGAAGAAAGAGAGCGCATGTGAAAATTATTCAATACAATGCGGTTAGCAACTAACTATCTCGTAAAACCACAAATGATTCAACTCTCAATTTATATCTCAAAGTAATATGGAAATAATATAAATGGGTTTACCTACATTACGCATGACATGAAAGAATGTCATGAAATAAGTCTACGTAACCAGATGCAATTTATTATATTCTTAATAGATCCCTCAGAGCGGTTGGCTCTAAGATAAATTAATTTAACAACACAACAATAGGCTTCATTCAATTACACCTTAGTTCATTAGTGAGCTGTTTCATAAGATGGTATTATCTAAATGCAAATGATGAACAAACATACAACTTACATGACTTTAATGTTTCATTACAATTTAAGAACTGTTATCTGTAATAATGCACGACACCGAGGGCGGTGTAAATATAGTTTGGCATAAATTCCAGGTGGGATTTCCGAACAATCTATCTTGACTTGATGAGTGATGAGAGCCAAACATGGAAGAACGAAGAGCACGAACTTAGGAACGCAGGGTTCATCTGAATTCTTGCGTAAAATTGGACTTATGCGACAATCACAAACACGACCGATTTGTGAAACATTTGAAACTATTGAAAAAAATGTTTTTGAACATTTAATGTGTTTAGCCACAGTCACTCAGCAGTGCTAGTTCGAACGTACGCACAAGTCTCAAAATAAATGCGGAAAGAAGTGCACACGATCCAGCGCCATCCATTCTAGTTATACAGTCTACACCCCGTCCCCATACCTCCCTTCCCCCAAGTACTCACCCGCACTCCCGCACCGCAAAGACGATCCAGTCCGGATGCAGCTCCGGCTCCCGCTCTACAAACTTGATGCACGTCGCGTTCTCCCAGTGCTGCATCGCCTGCTTGAACAGCGCCTTGTGTTCTGCGCTAAACTCATCATCAATCTGATAGGGGATCACCCCGTGGGCCCAGATTCGGTCCAGTCGGGCGGTGGCGGCCCTCTTCTGTCGATGGTGAGGAGCGGAGGATGGGAGCTGGACCACGCGGCCGGTGGTTGAGGCTGGTGATGAGCCGATAGAGTTGGTGGTGATTGTGGTGATCGGGTTGCTGCCCCGCTGCCGAGCTCGAGTGGTGTTTCTGTGGAAGACAGAGAGGGTGAAGGTCAGATGGTGGTGTTAGGAGAGTAGCACTTGATCACCAGGTGTGTAATTGACATGGAAAAGGCTCTCGTAAAAGATTTGATTATGGCATATAATGTTTTTACAGCCGCACGAAAAAGATGATTGAAATCACATCAAAATGTTTGCTTCTATTCTCTCTCTTCTTAAGTTAAGAGAATGCATAAAACAGATTGAACAAATAATTCATCTCAATAAGTCGAGAACTAATAATATGAAGCAGAGCAACAGTAGCTGTTAGTGTTTGTGTTGGATTCCAGGGACAGAATCCTGTTGAATCAAGAGCTCACTGGAGTTTTCTTCCTCCAAAGCGTATAACACTCAAGGTCATTCGACTTCTCCGTCGTCTCACTCAGGGCTTTGAACCCGGCCACCAACGTAACGATAAATGACTAATTCCGACACAAAATTCAGCAGATTTAGATGCAGGATACGTAACCATCCTTGTGTCTGATTCCATAGCGTGCTTGAAGCGTATAACTCAACAGAGAAAACCGGACCCAATCATCACATATTCTGTGAGTGGAATTTCCAATAAACACAGGCGCAAGTGAACGACGGGTAAATATGTTAATTTGATGAGCTTCGGCCATGTACTACGAGACAAGCATAACTTTGTAATGGGTAGAATGCACGTGTAGCTGAAGTCTGATGGGCGTACTGGCGGGGAGCGTGAGGCGTGTGTGGACGTATGATTCAGAGGGACATCTCACTGCGTAGGTTGGGATTGGTCTCACAGAATGAGTCATTGGTAATGTCCAACGGAACGCTGCGCTGGTATGATGGCAATGTTTGAAGCTAATCAGCTCACAAGAGGAACTGCGTGGATAATACTGCTTTACAAATTCCGTTTACAATTATTTAGAAGAGATCATGGAATCGTTATCATGGCGTTTTAGAGTTTGCGAGGGCAAACAAAACTCGTAAACGAGCAAAAAGGGTAAAATCAAAATGATAACACTGATGATACGCCCAAAATGATAACACTGACGATAACAGTAAGCAATAGATAGTGTAAAATCAAAATATGAAGCCCCCGTCAGCCACCCCAATCATGCCATTCATCTTTCTTCAGCAAAGGACGATGTCAGCACAACCAAATCTGTAACGCTTCGCACGCTCTATATGTATCAGTCCTCTCACTTCTCCCACCTTCCAACCGGGAGGACGTAATCCGATCACAGCTGAATTAATTAGCAGAAACTCTGCTATCTACGGCAGCCAGGCATGGCGACGAAACTGCTCTGCCAATAACAGTTCCGAGACAGTACTGGTGCTGACCAAGTGGGGAAACACGGCGAGACACGCATTTTTGGGAGAGGAAGTTGTGAGTAAGTTGTGAAAGGGGCAGCGTGTGTAACATGATATTTCATCAGCTGTCGAAGTAGGCAATATATGTGATGCCTTGAACAGATAAGCGTGCAACTAAAAAAATGACAACGTTTAGCAAGCCCAGAGAAACGGCTACATCAAGCACTGCCCAAAGTAGCGGAACAAAACCACTGCCAACACCACAGCTCGGCGGCTCAAAAACAATAACGGAAGCCGCCGGCTGCGACAAAAAGTGGCGCACATTTGTCGCAGTAACGCGCACCGTTTGTCGCCGTCATTGTTGGCCATCACCGACAAACGGTGCGGCCAGACAGGGAGAAAGTGCTGCCATATTCGCAGCCGTGCTTTCAACTCGTTTGAAGTGCCGACAAAGAGAAGGCCGTTCGATTCGAAATATCAGCTTTACCCCGGAAGAAGGGTATGCACTATGCAATTCATACTGCATACGCACACTTCCCAGGCGTATGCATTGCATGCATACGCAATGCATACATTGCCTTCCCACACTTAAAACAAACTAAACGGAAAACGCACAACTACATTTACTATTATTTCTCTTAGCGTCTGGGTTTCGCGGTAAGTATTGTATTTCCAATGTTCACTGTTAAAAGCTCTTGCTTTAGATATGTGCGGTTTAAAGAATATGAGACGAAGAGCATTGGACGTTGTTAAAGAGCAAAAACTCAAGACACGCACTTAATATGTTGCACAATGTACAAAGCTATTTGAAGTAACAAAATTCGCACCCGCCAATCGCCATGCACAAAGTGGGTCATTCGATAATGATTGGCCCCATAGCCCGACTCCTAGCTTACAACTTCGAAGTAAGCGTGTTTTGTCTGCAAGCCAGCACTGTAACAATGCCTAGCGCACCCCCCCCCCCCCACCTCCCCCAGCAGGGCATGACTCGGTCACCGACCAAATAAACACACAGCTAGCAGATGACGTCACAGGCGCACAGCCCCTGCACACACAGCGAACGGCGCAGAAAGAGGCACACAGAAGAGCCAAGGGGTCACCTAAACAGCGGCACGAAAACTTGAAAGCCCTTTGTATGTGGTGACGTCCGGATGTTGTTCAATACAGGACCGGTTTCATTGGAACGACACGTTCCAATTAAATTTTATTCATAAGAAATTTAAGCGGTGGTGCAGGCCCGAAATGAGTAATATGGTTTTTTCAAGGAAGCATTTGTAATTCTACATCAATGGTCAAATAATTTAATAAATTTGGGTAATAAATAAATTAAAGAAAATATTTAATGAACTACATTTAAACAAGAGTAGAATTATGCACCATATTTTCCCACCGTCTTCGAAAAGTGTCACCGTTGCACATCACCCTCTCCAATCCAAATATTCAGTTTCTATCCCCGCAGCACTTCTCCAGTCATCATTCCAACAGGACGAGTTGGGAGCGCCGTGAGGCAGACTGTGCCGCAGGGCATACGTGTACCGCGGTACAGTCTACCCAGCCAGGCTGCCTGGCGGGTAGACTGTACCGCATGACGTGAAATCGAGTATAAGCAAGTGAATCGATGATGCCAGGGCAGCGATAGGACGATCGTGTAGTAGTTTGTGCGGGGATGAGCCTCTAAGAAAGCCGGCAAACGGAAAGCGATGATAAAAAGCTGATGATACGGGGATTAGAAAAGTGATGCGAGACTAAGAGCGCGTCATGATATCAGTCATTGTAATGATCCCATAATCACTCGGAATGGCTTACAATGGAAGGGCAGGTAGAATGTTAAAATGAGTCACTGAAATGTCCGAGTCTGGGGGTGTGGAGATGAAACCAACTCACCTTCGTGCATGTTGATAGGCCCATTTCTTCTGGAGCCTCCTATTTTTCCGACGTCGACCACCCTTCCTCCTTCCCTTTTTCCTCCACTTTCCCCTCCTCCGGCTTTTATGCCGATTCCTCTTTCGACTTCTCCTTTTATGTGCGCACTTTTTCCGATGCCTCCTGCTACCCCAGCAGTCCGGATCACAGCGCACACATTTGCCCCTCGCGGAAAGGGGCGTCGCTGTTAGCCCCCTATCACCTCCCGAGGGCTCGATGGCGGCTTCCAAGTCCCCCGGCCCCTCTCGGGCCGCCTCGGGAGCCAATGACGTCACGGCGGCATCAGCCAATCGCAGCTCGTCGTCGAGCCGCTGCTGCGCCAGCTCTCTCTCATATTCGTCGTTTGGGATGACGATGTCACCGTCGATTTTGTCTGCGAAAGAAAATGTCGTCTGTTAGATTCATAAAATAGGTAGTGGTATCTTATGTCGTTCTCAGTGTATTTTTCCCACAATCACGCAGGGGTGAAGTAAGCGTCAGAAGTTTATATTATGATGCAACCAAGCCAGTCACATAGGTAGTTGCAATTCGCAGTGATAGAAAGCCGGTAATGCGACACGTCAAAATTGAATAACCATATAACAACACTGAAGACCAGGCCCCTAAAGGCTGAAACAGACTCTTTCCGCGTTCAGGAAATCGCATGCGAGAGCCTATTCAAATACATTGTAATTCTTCTCGCATCAATCGCTTGCGGGAGGTACGTGCGATTGATGCGAGCGTGCTTCCATGTATTTGAATAGGCTCTCGCATGCGCATGAGAACGAGAAGAATTACAATGTATTTGAATAGGCTCTCGCATGCGATTTCCTGACTGCGGAAAGAGTCTGTTTCAGGCTTAAAAGTGAACCTCAGGCTAGGGTTATCTAGCCAACCCTAGCCTGAGGTTCACTTTTAAGCCTGAAACAGACTCTTTTCGCAGTCAGGAAATCGCATGCGAGAGCCTATTCAAATACATTGTAATTCTTCTCGCATCAATCGCTTGCGGGAGGTGCGTGCGATTGATGCGAGCGTGCTTCCATGTATTTGTATTACAGGGAAACATTGTAACAAAATCACGCACCAGAGCTTCTTCTCATTCCACACATGCAGTCATTGACCTTTGTGTAGCGGTGCTGCCGCAAAGAAGAACCCTGAGCCCTCTCCCGGCTGTACCCTGGTTAAGAGGTCACGCGTGTGTCATCACCTTTATAAGCTACGACGGCACAAAACGTCCGGTTTCATAAACGGACGACTGCGCCAGATGCCACCCGTTTTAGACATGCAGCATATTCAGCCGTTCCAAGAAAGCATTCAGTTGGAAATGAGTCTCAGCTGAGAGATGGAATATGATCCAGACAGTCCGGGGCAGGGAGGACAGTGTTCCAGCCAGCAAATATATGAAAATTGACAGGATGCGCCTGCAGGTAAATATTGGATTCGTCTGCAATTGAAGGAGCGGCATTTATATCTTATGAACAGGTACGGCACAGTGGCGCCCCGTGGAAACGTGTGGCAGCTATCTAGCATAAGACAAAAAAAAACAGGGCGTGCCAGGGCCAAAAGGAAAGAGGAATCTAGAGTTCGGATGGTAGAAAATGCACTGTAAAAAGATGAAGTTGTGCTGCTAAGGTGATGATTGAGGGACGCTTTGTGTGCCTACCTGTCTGCATCTGCATATCTATATCTAATTTGCCGGGCCAGCACGAGGGAACAACTTCTGTGGGTGTTTACTGGTTACGCTTGCTTCAACTGGTCAAAACAGACTACATATTCAAGCATCTTGAATCTGATTTCGTCAGGCATAAATGCATTACTGAGATCACAACAGAGCCTCAGCATCGCAGCCTTGTGTGGCTTAGCGCATTGCTTGATACTTCACGGTCACCATTTTTCAAAGGACGTAGCAGTCGCCACATTTGAAAATTGAAAGATATAGATCAACCTGCGTCATTTTCTTTCTCCTCTGTGAAAGGTTGTGCCCATCAAATGATAAATTCCACCAGTCACCACGGTTACAAAGTGTTCACCTTTCGCATCTAGCGCCCCGCCCAAACTATGTAAGTCCTTCCAAGGACCAAATCATTAAGCTCTTACAATGCAAGGTCGGTATGCTGTAAATGCGTCTGTTCAGAGCTCAGTATAGACTGTCAAGTTTAACCCTCGCCCGTATAGGGGGGGGGGTCTAACGGACCCACCCCCCTCGGTTTTTCGCGGATAACTCGCGTAAAAAGCGGCCAATCGCGACGAAACTTACTATGTATGTTTGGCCGGAATCGCGATTCGGCGTATGTCGGCTCGCATTAGCAGCGCGTTTGCAAGTCTTTTCGTGGTTTTAAGCGTTCAAACATGGGATATGATGTTGCTCCCATGCATGAGGGTGGGTGTCAAGGTCACCGGAAGGTCAAGTCAGGTCATTGACCTTTGATGACCTCGGTTCACTTTTTCAAGTTTTACATGTTTTTAGGCCAGTTTTTGGAGCTGAATTCGAATTTAGCAACCATATAAACATTTACGAAGTAGTTTTGGTGTCCTCGTAACATGTTACGAAGCTGTCAGAGGCGGTTGCCACCTACTACGAATACCGTAAAGTGGGGCTATTTGAGACAGTGGGGTTATTTGAGACAGCATTTGAAATCGCTATAAAACGAAGAGCGTTTGATTTTTATGTGATATTTTTGCTCAGGAAGGTGTGGAATCGAGCAGTAAATCGCCTGAGCAAAAATTAAGCATACATTTCAAACGGTTTTTATTTTATAACAATTTTTAATACTGTCTCAAATAGCCCCACCGTCTCAAATAGCCCCACCTTACGGTACCCTTACTGGTTGACCTGACCTGCAGACCTGACCCGACCTGGCCTAAATGCATGAAGACATAATCTGTGATACAAACTAACATGATATTCGTGATCAGCACCAAAAAAAAAACCCTTAGCAGCCACGCTTAACGACTTTCTAACAAGTCCCGATTTTCCCGACTTTTGGGTCATTGACCTGACCTGGAAGGTCAACCGATGACCTAAGAACTTAAAATTGGGTATCATTAGCTTCCTCTCGTCACGGGCAACACGCTCGTTTTTTTCGCGAAGCTCTAGCTCGATCAGGGGCGAAACAGCAAGGGGGGTCCAACGGACCCCCCCCCCCTATACGTTCGCGGCTGGAAAAAACACCAATACGGGCGAGGGTTAAGCATCATATGCCCAGAAAATTTGGTCACCAGTCAATAGTTGTAAGGGCACACAATGTTTCAAAAGCACCTGAACTGAGCGCTGACGGATGGGGCTGCGTAGATTTATCAATAATATGATCGAAGCAAGGGGCTGCTTACCAAAATGAAATTATATTCACATTAAGCAACCACAGGTTGAAAGGTCTCTGCTATAAGTCATTACATAAAAGCAGAGGAAGGGCGACGCGCAAAACAATCCCTGTCATCTGGCCTGATGTCATATAAGATTCACATGACTCATGGCAGCTGCTATCGCAATTAAAAACACCCTCCACATACCATATTCAAAGCATCTCCACACCGCTTTCCACCATGGATAATGACAATAAACATGCGCATAATGTCAGTCAACCACGAGACTAATGCTACAAACATTGCAATGAGGTCATCGCTGATTCCTTGGAGTCGAGTATCGGTTTACGTGACGATTTCAACTGCTCAAGAAGAATGCTGTTGAAGGCGTTTGTAAAATAAATATAAATGTGAATATAAATGTGTACCAGGCGTTAGCTGGTCCGAAAACATACCAGCAGCTCTTGGAGCCCTGGGCTTGTGGGTTGATCAAGGTAAAAAAAAAAAACAGGTCAAGAGAAAGCCTTCGCTGGACAAGATGGCTCCGGACAATCAAGCATCCCTAGCTATCGACGTGATTTCATAACTAAAATATTTTTTAGCTTAAATGCTAGGTATATGCATCGAATGGTTGTCTTACCTTCAAAATATCTTATATAAAAACGTCAAAATATCAATAGTATATAAAATATTAAATAAAACGAAGCTATATGAAAGCATCATAAAGATTCAACGGCCAATTATTCCGAGGAGGACTCCACTGATGATTCACCTCAAAGATAGTACGCCAAGACACCGCGACATACGCACTACTTGGGAGCGATTCGAGACGACTGTGCTCTCTGGAACACGTAATGACGCAAACCCTGCAAACATTGTCAATGTGTGAGATCATCTCAACAGAGAAAAGTTCAGCTGCGTCTTGAGTCACAGGGGGTAGCCATCCGGCAGTGAGATAGGTTCGACATGGTTAGCATGAGATAAGACGGGGGTCAATAATTGCGAAGGAATTGATAAAGCAGTGATAAAGTGGATTGGCCATGGTGTACATACAGAACTTCTTTGATTAGTCATGGTATAGTTATACGGAACTTTTTTTCAAATCACAAGATTCCTCAAGCACAACTTTCTTGAGAACGACTTTATCTTTGGCAGCGTGTAATGGAGAAGGTAGTTGGATGAAAGCCGAAAGGTATTTGCGAAAGAAAAGAACACACCCTGCAGTGTGTACCTAAAACGAAACAATTTAACGCAAGATACCAATGCGACACAATCCCACCTCATACATAATTCCAATAGAACACTGCACTCAGTTATCAGAGATGAGGGTTTCAGCGTGCCACTGAAATAAACGCTAAGCCCACTGAATGAGAAAAGGTTCTCCCCGTTTTGTAATTGTGTTGCATTTCTGCAACTTAAATATGCTGAAATATGGCACCTCATTTCCACTAGCATTATTCTGCTGAGTTGTGGCGCCGATGCAAATGAAGATGAGTCGCCAGGCGTTTTAGAAAGAGTAATAATGTGGCCACGTGTGATATAAGAAACAGCCAACTGGATGTGGCGCAAAGAAGGCGACACTAAATAGAACAAGGTGGCAGATTTTAATTTTAGCTCAAGACAGAAAACTAAGGAAAAGCATAAACACTGCTAAGCTCATTTTATTATATAAGTGAACGTGGTATGAACAATGCAGTTTCAATTCTTCCATCCTCTCACTCAGTTTCGTTGACTATGCTCAGTAGCCATAATCTCATTTCCATGTTTACGGCAGACACGTTTAAACTCGCGTTTATATCCTATATAGCTGTCCCGCTTATCCCGTGACTAGCTAAGCCCGGAAATCCGTTAGCTCTATGAAAGAATGGGCCGGAGGCAGCGGGAAGGAATTCTCCCTTCCTCTTTCTTCCTCTCGGCCTCTGTTCATGTGTGAGAATGTGCAGACGGTGTCGGTTCTAACACGTGCCCTCAGGGGCGTGGTATCTCCACCCCACAGAGCCCGGCGAGGATTAAACCGTCTGCAGTCCTGTTATTCAATCGCTATTAAATTTAGCTTAATTATACACCTCAGCTTGCCGTTACCACTAACTA